CTGCACAACGTCACGGCCGAGCTCTTTGGGGCCGAGGCCTGGGGCACCCTGGCGGCCTTCGGAGACCTCAACTCTGACAAGCAGACGGACCTCTTCGTCCTGCGGGAAAGTCAGTGCTTGCCCGGCCCTCCCTCTGTCCGCGTGCCCCTCTCGCTGTTCCCCACACCCTGTGCCTGGACGGCCGGTCCTCCTGCATTTCCCGGCTCTTCTGTCTCAGCCTTGTCTCTCTTCCTTTATCTCCAGCATCTTTTGACAGCTTGCCGGTATTCTCCATCTTTTCTGAACCCAGGTCCTGGCCCGGCCAGTCCACAGTTTGATTCACCCCTACAAGCCCTGGAAACTCCCTAGTTGTTGTGTTTCCTGAGAAGTCCGCGGCCTTCACTCACGCGCCCCATCCTCTTCATGGAATCACCTGCCTTCCGAAGTCCTTCCTGATTCCCAGTAGTCTATAGTTTGCCCCTTTTCCCTCTCAAGGCCCCTTCATTACTGTCTGTTTTACTTTCTCCAGCCTCCCACTGGAAAAGGTGCAACTGAGTTTCCTCTTATAGGAGATTTCTCCCTGCCTCATTGACCTAATTCACACGCCTCTCCCTCTGTCAGCGTCCCAGGCTTCTTGAAAACTACTGTAGTAGCCCTCCCAAGGCCCTAAACACTCCACAGCTCAAACAAGCATTTTGCAGGGACCAGTAGTAAACCCAGCGTCTCCTTGGGAAAAGATTCTCAAACTGCAGGTTTTTCTCTCTTCTGAGCTGCCTAGTCTTTGTGTGCAAAAAAACTTGCTTGCTTTGGTCACCGTCCTGCTATTTCAAATCTCTTCTTTCTTTGCCAGCTTGAGGTTCTTGGGAGTTCTTTGTTTTAATCATCACTAAACAAACTTTTTTGTAGGTCTTGATGCTGACAATTAGCATTAGACCGTCTTAGTGTTTGTTCTTGAGTACCCATAAAGCAGGTACTGTTTAAGGTCAAGGCTGTGAAGTAAGGGAAGTGACGCTCTTATGCAGACTGACAGGAACTTGTCCTGGATTTCTTGGGGCCCTTGCCAGGACCTGAGAGGCTCTTGTGGACCCTGGATATTTTCCTTATCTCTGTATGACTGTCTACTGCGAGAAGGGTACATACTGTCTAACCTGTAGCTACGCTGTCCAAACTGGGTACAGAGACTTCCCCCTTAACTTTAAAGATGCCTTGTGTTTGATTAAACAATTTGAGAAGTCTATTCCAATGAGTGCTCATTGAGCTCCAAAAACACATCAGCCTGGGAGATGGTTCTGTCAGAGCCACAAAAGTGTGGTCTTGGAGGAGTTAGCGTTTTCTGCTTTAACACAAAAAAATCATGTCCTTGTTACTAGTCAGATACCTACAAATTGGAGTTCTCTGTGCCCTTGGTGTGATGCAGCTGTGTGATAAACTGAAGCGATTTATAAAGAGCTGAGTTGTTGGTTTGGGGGAAAAAAGTCTTGACATGTACTATAGTTATAAAGCATGTTCTTTTTGTGCTTCTTTTAAGTCAGTCTATCTGACTCTTGGCAGAAGCCATTGGCTTCAGTTTGTCTTGACCAACTGTTTTCCCGTGTTCATCTTTACAGTTTCTCTGCTGCTTTGAATATTGAGTTTGTGATATACTATTAGGAATCCCCATCATTAGTCTAAAAGGACTGACCTTGACATAGCTAACAAACTAGAGTAAAATAAAAGTTTTCTTGTTGAGAGCAGTGCCCAGAAATCTTCTTGTAACTGCTTGTAACCATTGGGAAACATTTTTCTAATATGTATTCGCTTCTTTTAGGAAATGATTTAATCGTCTTTTTGGCAGACCAGAACGCACCCTATTTTAAACCCAAAGTAGAAGTATCCTTGAAGTAAGTACAAATGTATTTGTTTCTATACAACCGTCATTAGTATAATAATGGATATACAATAACTAATTGAATTGTCTTTGAAATCAATTTTACTCTAATGTGATGTGATACAAAACCACTAGTCATGAGGTATGAGTAGCAAGTGATTTGTTAGGAAAATCAGTGAGCATACCAAAGTTCAAAAATGATTTACTTTAAAAAATAAATAATTTTGACTGGATTCAGTTCTCTTCCTTCATTAACAACCTCCAGTCCCTTGCAATCAGATATGCTTTCTCGAATGTCTTGGGAATTGTCCCTCATGCTGAGTGTTCCTGCGGGAGCAGCTCATTCATAGACTCATCGTGTCAACTGTGTGTTTTGTGGGTGGTGCGAGGGAGAAGTTTGCACTGGGGTCAATGACCTCTGTTCTAATTTTTTTGTTTATTGACTAATGTAGTGACTCACAGGTGACTAATAGGTTGATTTGGAGGAAATTCAAATCAAGCTGAATTTTTCAGATGTTCAAATAATAGTTCTATGTGTTTTTTTTTAATATGATTTGCATTGCATAAAACACAGTGACCCTCAGTGAGCCAATACAGTTTTGAAACTACGAGAAGCAAGGATTGATTGCTGTTTGGTTCAGTGAGGAAGAGATGAGTCAGCACAGGCTAAAGTGGCAGCTTCTAGAAAGTCATGGAACTTGAGCTTGACCTTAAGATAAGTAAAATTTAAGTGAGGGCTTTCAAGTTTGGGAACACAGTGTTAACAAGAGATGGCAGTAGAAACAGAATGTTGTGAAGAGGAGATGGAAAGATTTGCCTGGCAGAAGTGGAAGGTATACTTTGGAGAGTTATGGACCAGAAAGATGGGATCAAGTCAGACTAGGAACCTTCATAAATATCAGAAAGAATTGAACTAATTCCCGTGAGAAGTGGGGAATGATTGCAAGTCCTTGTTTAAAGGAGAGGTGATGAAAATGGTATTTTAAATTGATGTGATTTACTTGTTAACCCTGTGCAGGAAGAATTGGTGTGTAGAAAGATTAGCCATTACTTAGGAAACTGTTTTAAAAACTTAAGAAGTCCCCATATGGGCTAATTAATGCATGCTCTGATTCTAC